CCAGCGGGGGGGGCGGATGAGCAAGCGCCGGCTGGTGGGGAGAAGCCGCAAGTTTCAGGATGGCTGAGCGGTGAGGAGAACGGAGAACTGTCATTCTGTCAGTTTCCGGATGACATCGGCTCTGTGTGTGGCCGAACATTGATATTTACTGATCCTCTGTGCAGCACAAACACCGGAGTGATCGTGTGATCACTCCAGTGTTTGTAAATAACTGGGGACACATAGGGGGTTATTCACACAGCTGCCAAAGGCAGCTGTGTGAATAACCGACCCGAAGTGAAGTGAGCCGAACGCTGTTCGACTAGTCACTTCAGGCTTGTACAGCTGATTTCAGCCGTACATAGGCTTGCTGCGGCTGGGTTCGGTTCGGCCGAAGTGCAGAAGGAGTTTGACTCAGCTGATCCAACATCTGGATCGGCTTACCCGAACCTCCAGCAGGCTACTCGTTACTGTTCGGCCTATTCTCATAGGGGCCAAACAGCAGTGAGTGAATAGCCAAGCGGCATTCGGCTCAGCTATTCTGCTCGGTACCTCTGTGGTACCGAGCAGAATAGAAAAAGTAGGAAAAAAAAGGAGAAAATGATTGGGCGGAGCTAGAGGTGACGGCTAGCTCCGTCCAACTGTTTTCTATTGGACGGGACCAGCTTTCATTACAAGAGAGCTTATCGGAGCCAGCGGTGATATCAAAGCTATATAAAGTTATATCTATAATATGATCTATGTATTTTTATTGTTAATTGTTCCAGTCGTTTTTTTTTTGTTTTTTTTTGCTGTGCTGCAGTAGAAGAATGAGGGTATGATGGTTGCATTGAGCAATACAGATACTTTTTGTTCAATGTCATTTGTTAGCTGATTTTTCATAACCCAGTGAAAACTTTCTCTTTTTGTTGAGCAGATTTTCTGGTGTAACAGAAGAAGATCTGGAAAACACAAGAATAACTCTTCGAGATGTTCAAGCCGTTTTACTCTGCATGTTCAACTGTGACACTATACTAATAGGTCATAGTTTGGAAAGTGACCTTTTTGCACTTAAGGTAATATTATTTAAAAGGCACCTCATTCTGTAATTATTTATTTTTTTACGAAATAACGTTTTTATTGAATTTTTTACATAAAACACGTAA